CTTTTGTTGTGAAAATGAATGATCAGACGGAATCTCTTGCAGCTTCTATCAAGGACGGAAATTGGATTAGATATGTTGAAGCGATTTTTTGGCCAAGATTTGGTTGAACTTATTATGACCGTCCATATTCACTCTGATTTATTAAGAGACAGTTTGGAGCTTCTATTCAAATGTTCGAGTAAATCAATTTTTGCTTTAGTGGCATATAATTCTTATGTATATGAGGAGGAGGATATGGAATGGAGATGGATTAATAAACTTAAATTTAAGCCTCGTATTGAGCTATTTTGGTGGCGGCTTCATATGAATGTGTTACCATCAAATTACTTTCTTGTGTATAGAAGGTTATTGGAATTTGATGGATGTCCGAGAGGTTGCAAAGATGTTGAGAATAGTGAACATATTGCTGTAAAAATGTGATAAGCTACCTCAGGTTTTTCATATCCTAAAAAAAATGGGGATTTTCTCTTCCTATCTTTAATTCTTTTGAAGATTGTATTGAAGAAGCTTGCATCTTCCGATCCAATAACCGGTAATCTTTATTATTCTGTTGTGTTTTTTGTTGGAAAAGCAGATGTAAGATAGTTCATGGCGGTTTAGATGATAATGTTGTGATTATAGCAGCTTCTTTTATCAGTTTTTCGGTTAATTCTTTTTAATCTAATCTTTGTTCGGAGAGTTGGGGTGTTAATCAGTTGTCACAATTGTTGGTTTCTTGGCATCCTCCGCCTCTTGGATGGATTAAGGTGAATGTAGATGCATCTTGGATGAGTTCTAATAAAGTTGGAATAGGTGGTGTTTTTAGAGATTCCAAAGGACGGTTCTTATGTGCTTTTGGATTCAGTTGTCTCCATTGAGATTCTGCACAATTGGAAATCTTATCTATTCTTTCTTTGAGGAATGTTATATAAGAATGGATGGTGGATGCTAAAGGAATCATTATTGAATGTGATAATCATAACGTCATCAAATTGTTTCAGGTTATGCTGATCAATAAAGAAGTTAAATATGACATCTTAAATCCTAAGGATTTAGATTTTCTTACTAATTTCAACCAAGTTTTATTTCTTTTCTATGTTAGGGATTGTAATAATTTAGCCGATTATTGTGCTAACTATGCTCTTTTATCTTTTTTTTTTATAATTGTAGTTGGAATAATATTCCTCCTTCCTTTGTGTCTATGTTAAAGGAGGAATGTGAGTCTTGTAGTGGGATGTAATTCTAATAAAATTGTTCTATGCATCTTTAAAAAAAAAAAGAAAAACAACAATCATATTCATACATTATGATTTTTCTCTAAATTCAATTTTTAATTCACTCCTTGATTCTTGACTCTTAATTAGAAAAATTGTACAATAATCATAGAATGGTTAATACAATATAATGTAATTAATTAAATTTTGAATGTAGTTACTTAAGAAAGGAACTAATAGTGTTTTTTCTTTTGATTATAATTGATTGTTTGGTATGACTCCTATCATAAAGTATGAAAAGTTTTGCAATTTTAATTTAAAAGTTTTTTTTTTAAATTACAATGGCTTGAATATTCAAAATTTTTAAAAATTTCATAAAGATCATACCACACAATTTTCTATTAATCAAGTTATTTTAATTAACTAATAATTTTTTATTTTAATTAAAGCATGAAATTAATTTAACTCTCAAGGGTGTAAGGTTGGTTACTTCATAAGCCATATATCGATAACATGTAATATGACTCAATAAAAAAGTAAAATATTCTGGGCATATTGGTTTCCTTGATGGCTTTTCTTCTTTAGTTCATGCTAAGTGCACTACTATGTTTGACAACTGATTACCCATGTACCATTTGACTTCCAAATCTTATTTTGCCTATCATGTTTAGCTTAACTAGAAAGCCCGCACACACAAATGCATCTTCTCAAAATTATATATCACAAGTAATAATTCATACAATCATCAATAACCTCTAAATCTTATGGGGTTCAATCGGGAACTTCTTTAGAAACCCCATTCATAGATGAAGTATCTAAACTATGGTTTACCATTGGTTAAATAAGGGTTAAAGGGTTTAGGATTAGAACATATGGCCAATAGGAAATCTCCATGCCAAAGCTAGGTACACTACCAATTATGTCTCCTTTGGACTCCTAGCATCTCCCCATATAGTCTTTAAGCAATATGGTAACTGAGCCACGTATTGATCCATAAATTAATCACGGATGACTCACACCTAAGCTCATGTTGGGCCTATAAATAGAACTTATGGATAAATAGCTTAGGATTATATTCCACCATATTCTATAGGCTTTATTACAATCTCCATCAGTTTTATAGGCACCTCAAACTAATGTTGATGAGACGTCAACACTATGGAGCTAACTAAAAAATGGTTAGGCCTTAATCGACAGAGCATCTAACACACCTAAACCAATTATGAGAAAGGGTATTTCTTCAACTTCACTTTTAGTGAAGATAAAGACATCCATTTCGCACGAGCCCCCATTACTCACAAAGGAGAAAATCCTTACCCTAGTTAGCCTTAAGAAGGGTTTAGGTTTGTGTGTTAATGACCAGTTTTAAAGATGGGTGAACTTGATCAACATTTATGTAAGCTTAACAACCCATGCAAAGGTAATCTATAGGGAGAGTATCTTGTTTCTAAGGTCGATTAAAGTATCATCTCTCAGTCAGTGAGAAGAACTTAAGAGAACTAATAGCTATAAGTAAAGGCTATGGGATAGAACTGACCCGAACCCAATCTCATACTCCTAGTTCTAAGCTTTATACGATGAGAAAATTAATTCTAAGATTGTTGTGGAAAACTATTTTAAAATTGATAATGGATTTTGACAAGTTAATAATATACCTCCATTCATCAGATAGGTGTTTTGCACTTATTGTAAGTTAACCAGTAGAGCCCAACACTCGATGAAATTTAACCATAAGGTGCTTTAGGCTATAAAGGAATTTAGTTAAAGTACAAAAATGTGGCTTTCACAAAGCATTTTTTCTTTCTTTAAAAAAAAAATTTCTTTTATAATTACTAGAAGCATAGCAAATGATTTAATAAAACTTCCCAACACCCATTTTTCAATCATTAATTTTACTATTTCAAAAATATACATTAGTTAATTAGGACTTTGATTTAAAAAATATCTCAAAAATTGTATGGGAGTGTTGTCTTGTCTATTGAGACATTTTCCATTAGAATTATTTTGGAATTTTTGGTGTTACGGAACGAAACATGGTTGTTCTTTAATGCAAGTCCCATTCTGATTTTTTAACATATTGAATCAAATTCATTTGATATTTAAATTTTGCAATTTTTCTAAAGGACAGGGTATGATTGCCATCTCATAGAACTATGATAATATTTTTCAATTATTAAATGCATCCCATTTTTAATAATAAGATATATTTACTTTAATTGATTGAATTTAACGTCCTTCATTTGAAGTTTCCAAAAGGTCAAATATAATAGAAGATATCCTCCAAATATATCAAACTTTTTTAAAATAAATTAACATTTATAGTTTGTCTTTTAAGTGCTTATTATACAACAAAATTTAAGACTACTTCTCAAAATGCTAAATAATATTTGGGAAGGGAGGCATTTGGAAGGTCAAAAATTGGCCAATTTTGATTACTGGTTGGCTATATTTTTTGGAGTTTCTCTAATTAATTATATTTTTTTTGTAATTATCTCTATAAGTTAACATAAAAATAATGTTTGTAGCTTTCACATTGAATACTCATCAAAGGTTTGAAAGTTTTTTAAAATAATCAAATTTCAAATCCTTAATTTAATTTTAAATTTTAGATTTTTAATATTTTTAAACTTATTAAGGGATTTCTAAAATTTTTAATATTAATTTAAAAAATTTTCAAATAAATTTTAAATTTATGATTTATTCAAGTTCTTGCTTCCAACAAGGGATCTCTGTAGAATATTGCACTATTATTTTATTTTGAATATTCTGGCTAATTAGACTAACAATTTTCTTGCACTTAATCTTCTTAGGTCATATGCAGTTGCATCCTGCAAATTATTATAGATATTATTCTCTGATTACATAGTCTC